GGAATTCTGCTCATGGGCAGAAGACATTTCCCCCAGGAGGGTTGGGTTTTATATACAGGTTCAAATTATACAGTCTCTGCCCCTTCCCAGGTTCACAATCTATCCTACTACATATCTCCCTACGCAACACCCTTATTATTGTAGCATACCATCTGTTTCCTTAACCTTTTTACCCGTTTCCATTTCCAGTAATCTCCATCATTAACATGACACTGGATAGCATAACCTGCAAAATATATAACCTTTATACAAAACAATAGAGAATTCTTACATAATATTCCAGTAAGTTATCTTAGGTTAACAAAGAGGTTAAAAATGGTATTACCATTGCTTTATATTTTCACAGGTATAATTCTACCGGTACATATCGTGGCTTTGGGCGGAGGAAATGAAATGCTCTTGAAATCTATTTTGGGGTGTGCCTATTTTACTAGCCACCCCCCCTTGCAAGAACATATTTTACGATAACACAGCTACACTTAATGACTCTGTCCAATTTCTGACTAGTGAATGCATTTCTCACAACCAGGGAAATATGGTAAAGACAACTAAAATGAATTGTGGAATTAAAAATACAGTGGAAACCATTTTTAGAACATAGAATAAGAGTTGGATGGGATTCAGATGCAGATAAGCAAAGTTGGAAGGGACCTTGTAGGTCATCTAGTCCAACCCCCTGCCCAAGCAAGAGACCCTACACCAATGGTGTAGGGCAGGAGTCTTCAAACTTGGCAAATTTAAGACTTGTAACTTCAACGCCCAGAATTCCTGAGCTAACATGACTGGAGGAGGAACTGTGGGAGTTCAAGTCCACAAATCTTAAAGCTATGAAGTTTGAAGACTCCTGCCCTACACCATTTCTGACAGAGGGCAGTCCAGTCTCTTCTTGAAAGCTTCCAGTGATGAAGTTCCCACAACTTCTGAGGGCAACTTCTGTTCCATGGGTTGATTGTTCTCACTGTCAGAAAATTTCCCCTTATTTCTAGGTTGAATCTCTCCTGGATCTGTTTCCAACAGAGTTTCCTGTTTTTACAGAAACTGCAGGAAGATATACTGGCCTGTGAAGAAAATACATTGTGTAAATTTCTAATCTCATGAGCTAGGCTGAAATTTGAGAATCGTACGTAGGAAGGCCTCTGCTATATTCTAGGAACTAGGAATTTAAAAGGAAAATTGAGAAATCAGTAAAAGGAAAATGAGAATTGTTATATATATATATAAACAAAATGGAATTAGTATTTAGAATAACAAAGTTGGAAGGGACTTTAGAGATTTTCTAGTCCAACTCACTGCTTGGGCACAAAATGCTATATCATTTTGGACAAATGGTTATCCAATCTCTTCTTAAAAACTTCCAGTGTTGGAGAATTCACAACTTCTGGAGGAAAGTTGTTCCACTGATTAATTGTTCTAACTGTCAGGAAATTTCTCCTTAGTTCTAAGTTGCTTCACTCCTTGATTAGTTTCCATCCGTTGCTTCTTGTCCTGCCCTCAATTGCTTTGGAGAATAGCTTGACTGCCTTTTCTTTGGGGCAGCCCCTGAGACACTGGAAAACTGCTATCATGTCACCCCTGGTCCTTCTTCTCATTAAACCAGACGTACCTAGTTCCAGCAAGCGTTCTTTATATGTTTTAGCCTCCAGTCCCCTAATCCTCTTGGTTGCTCTTCTCTGCACTCTTTCTAGAATCTCAACATCTTTTTTTTACATCGTGGTGACCAAAACTGGACGCAGAATCCCAAGTGTGGCCTTACTACCAAGGCCTTATAAAGTGGTATTAACCCTTCAGGTGATCTTGATTCTATCCTTCTGTGTTTCTAAACATTTTAGAAATATTGTTTCTAAAATGCCGAGCATAAGTGTATGAACTGGAACAACTATAAGCTGTTTTCGAAAGGAGGGAGCAGGTAAAATGTGTTAGCTGTGTAAAACCACAAGCCCAGCTTTTAAATGTCAGCTGAAACGGCAAAGAGGAAGTACAAGCAAAACCACAGCAAAAAGGGGGCTTTTAGGGGCAATAAACTAAACGCTTTTGATAGGATGTGGTGTTAACAAGGGGAGGGAGCGGCAAGTCTGTGTAAGGGGATAAAAAGCTGGTGTGTGCTTTGTTCTGAGTCTCCCTTTCGAGCACCCGTGTTTGCAAACAGTGAATAAAATTCTTTGCTGCTTTCAAGTTATTGTCTCGGGTAGTTCCATATGCGAACTCCTACTGTTTACAACACATCCATGGTTTAATAGCAGTAACTGTGAGAGGGATCTTGGAGTCTTAGTGGACAACCAATTAAAGATAAGCCAGCAGTGTGCGGCGGCAGCCAAAAAAGCCAACACAATCCTAAATTGCATGAACAGAGGGATACAATCAAGATCAAGGGAGGTACTAATATCACGCTATTAATAAGACCACACCTAGAGTACTGCATCCAGTTTTGGTCACCACACTATAAAAAAGAAGTTGAGACTCTATAAAGATGGTGAGGGGACTGGAGGATAAAACATACAATGTACAGTTACAGGAACTGGGCCTGGCTAGTCTAGGGAAGAGAAGGACCAGGGGAGACAGGAGAGCAGCCTTCCAATATTTGAGGGGCTGCCATAGAGAGGAGGAGGGGGTCAAACTATTTTTCAAGGCACCCGAAGGCCAGACAAGGAGCAATGGATGGAAACTGAGCAAGGAGAGATTCAACCTGGAAATAAGGAGAAACTTTCTGACAGGGAGGACAATCAACCCACGGAACAGAAGTTGCCCTCAGAAGTTGTGGGAGCTTCATTCCTGGAGGCTTTCAAGAAGAGACTGGACTGGCATCTGTCAGAAATGGTGTAGGGTCCTCCTGCTTGGGTGGATGGGGGTTGGACTAAATGAACTACAAGGTCCCTTCCAACTTTGTTAGTCTGTTTCTTGTCTGGCCTTCAGGTGTTTTGGAAAATAATTTGGGATTTGTTGTCTAGTTTTGAAATAAACAACCGCCAGCCAAAACTTCCAAGAGAAAACAATGTTAATTTTATTCTTCACTTTGCAAAGAGTGTGCCCCCCCCCCAACAAGGTACAGTGGAGACACACCTGTATTTATTATGCAATATATTCTCTATTGCAGTTACAAATTTACACCACCATCCCTCCCACCTTTTCTTCGTTGGCTTAGCAATTATGCCGTCTAAAAGGGAATACATTATCTTCACCCCTGATTACATCTCCCATTAGTTTTAATTCTATTGCCCCCTGGCCTTATTTACGAATTTCCTTGTACGATCCTAGAAGTTGTCTCTTAGAGTTACTATCATATCAGCAAATTCTGGTTAAGGCTGGTTTTTAGCATAGCAGAGGCCTCTGATCATAGCTCCTACGTATGATTCTCAGGCTTTCAGCCTAGCTCTTGAGATTAGAAATATATACAATGTATTTTCTTCACAGCATGTCTTCTTAAAGTTTCTGTAAAACAGTAGGCTCTGCTTACCACAATAGCTTGACCCCTTCCTCCTCTCTGAGGCAGCCCCTCAAATATTGGAAGACTGCTATCCTGCCTCCCCTGGTCCTTCTCTACCCTAGACTAGCCAGGCCCAGTTCCTGTAACTGTACATTGTATGTTTTATCCTCCAGTCCCCTCATAATCTTGGTGGCTCTTCTCTTGGGACTTTGAAGGTCATCTAATCCAACCCGCTGCTGGAACAGGAAAGAATTTCAGGCAAAAGGGCTATTAACATGTGCAAACTGGCATTTTAAACAGCTGGGTTCACCCAACATCCTTAATTGATTGATTGAATCGATCCATTTTTTTTTCCTCAGCTCTCCCAATAAGGTGAGCTTGAAACTGACCAAGGAGCTGGATTTCAAACCACTTCCCAAAGCATAAAAGGAAACCTAACCAGGATCAGAAAGATTATTCTGGGTGAATGCATCTATTCCTGGGTTAGTTTCCCACCCACACTAAGATTCTGTAGAGATTCTCCATCATCCAAGTCATGGTTGTCCCAAAGGTGCTTTTTATTCAAGCGGCAACTGGACTTTCTGGTTTTTCTTTGAAGATGTTTCGCTTCTCATCTAAGAAGCTTCTTCCGCTCTGACGGGCTGGTGGGGAATGGAAGGATTTATACGCCTTGCAGACAGCTGGTCATTTGCATCCCTTTTAGAGGGTCGTTGAGGCCACTTGGAGGTTTCTCTGTGTCCTCAGAGTTCCTGTAACCTGCAATTTTTCTCTGGAAATTCATTCCTTCTCCTCACGATTCAAAGGGTGCTCATCCCAAATTGTATAGCTAAATGTCTGTAGAGATTCTCAGTCATCCAGGTCATGGTTGGCAACTGTCTGTGTCCTCAGTAGTAAAACAAGAGTACTCAAACAAGTGTTGGACTACTTAGGTAACTCTGAGGACACAGACAAACCTCCAAGTGGCCTCAACGACCTTCTAAAAGGAGGCAAATGACCAGCTGCCTGCAAGGCATATAAATCCTTCCATTCCCCCACCATCCACAGTCAGAGCTGAAGAAGCTTCTTGGATGAGAAGAGAAACGTCTTCAAAAGAAAAAAACCAGAAAGTCCAGTTGTCTCTTGAAAAAAAAAAAGCACATTTTTCTTACGATGTTCCAAAATCAGCATGTTTTTAAACTGCTACCTTGATCAACATTGCCATGTTCCTATTTTGGGGGGTTGTTTTAACTCTCTCCCCCCCCCAATCCAACCCCCCCCCCCCATCAAAAAAAAAAACCAAAAACCCGGAGCGTTTTATCCCCCTCCCTATTTCCCGCCTTCACTGCCCGAAACAAAGATGGCGACGCCGGCGAGCGAACCTATACGCCCCCGCACACATTCTCTCCCGTCTCTACCACACTTCCAAATATGCCCGGCCTCCCTCCTCACACCAGCACCCAACATGGCGTCCGAGACGTTCGTCCCCTTTTCCAAGAAAGCCGCGCGCTCTTCCCGCCCAAAACAAAGATGGCGAACCGCTCCACCCAACCCACGGCGGAACGCTCTCGCGGAATGCGCTTGCGCAAAACCTCCCCCCCCCACGACCGGAAGTTATCCGCTGAGGAGGGGTAGGGGGGGGTCCCTAATGATTCCCAACGAAACGATGAAGACGTAGCCCCGGGCGGCGAGGACAGCGACGGGATGTCGGTGAATTACGCGGCGGGGTTGTCGCCCTACGCGGACAAAGGGAAATGCGGCCTCCCGGAGGTGAGGGGAGAGGCGCGGCAGGCGAGGCCTGGTTGCCATGGGAACGGGCCCGCCTGAGGGACCCTCGGCCGTGGAGGGGTGGCCGAAGGCCTCCCTTGGGGAAACTGAGGCACGAGGGGGTGGGACGGGGTGGGGTGTCTCAGGATCCCTAAAGCTGAGCGGGCCTGGAGGGAAACTGAGGCACGGAAGGATAAGGGGGGAAACTGAGGCACAGGGGGCGTTGAGGGAGCTGATTCCCCCCCCTTTCCAGGGCTTCTTTTCCCCCCCCCTAAAGTTGGCAGCATGGACTACAATTCCCAGAATCCCCCCAACCAGCATTGGGGGGGGGAGGGGAGGTTTCCTTTATCGTTCCTTTTTTCTTAATATATGTTTTATTTTATTTTTTTTATTGATTTTTAAAGACAAACATAAACAAACAAAACATAAAAACATCCAACTTTTCTTCCATAAATATACAAGCAGTGTGCCGGTTGGTTTACAAATTTTTTTGTGCATCCATTTCATAGTCATCAATTAACAGTTACATTGCATAATAACTCATATTCTCAATCAGAAATGAAATACCCTCGTATCATGATTAATCACTCCTTTGACAATAATTTTATTCATATTTTGCGAGATAACTATTAGTTTACTTAGTGTTATTTTTCATAAAATGGTATTATAATACTTAGTATTATTATTCATATAATCTTCCCAAATCTATCCTAAAAAAATTTTTTTATAGATATAGTAAAATTAATATATGTTTTATGGATACATACTTTTATATCACATTAAAAAAAAAATCCATCTCTGTCTGACCAGCCTGTGGTCTGGATACAATGCATAGAAATGCAATATTAATCAACAGTTATTAGAAATGGAATAATGGAATACGTCAATAATATAGGGATTGGCATTTACAATAACAGATCCCCCCCCCCCCATCGTATAAAAACCTCAATTTAGCCAAAGAAGGGCCTAAAGACTTAACCATCACTTACTCAACATTTTATCAACCTGTTCAAAATACTTAAGCAGGGGCATTTCACCCTGGTATCACTAAGTATATTAATACTAGCTCGATATCCGGTGCTTCGCTATGAAATTATGTGGTTGGGCTTAGTTTTTGGGGAGGAAATTAAAGGGGAAAAATTATTCTGCCTCTGTCTACCCAGCATCCATCGGTATTCCTCTGGCTAGCGTCCTGTTAGGGTGTGAGAGAGTGGAGGGCCGTTTGGAAACTGAAAGAGTATTTGCTGTGTGAGCAAGGAGGAGACAGCAAGGAGCCTGGGCGTGGCTTAGCTCAACTGTTCTGTACTAAAGCTGCTTGGTGCTCTGAAACTGAAACTCTTCTCCTGTGTTTTGCCTTTGGAAGAGATTTCCTTTCTGGTGGGGAGGGAGAGTCGAAACTCCTTAGCATCAGAGCGTGTTAATAATAATACAGTGTTGGAAGAAATATCCTTCTGGGTTCAGTTCCAAGTGGGGAAAAAGACACCGGAAAACATGGAGGCTGTTTGGAAAGAAGGTTTTAATGGTGGACAGGACCACATGGCTTGGAGCTTCAAAGTGAAAAGGACGATCACATGCTTCAAGATGTTGGGTGAAGGAAAAGAAGGAAAAAGGGCTGAGTGTCTCTTGGTTTTATACCCTCTGTTGGGATTTGAATTTGAACTTGTATTCTGATTGGTTGTCAGCATGGGCAGGGGCAACTGTGTAGGCTGTCCTGAGTCCCAGGCTTGGTTGAGCCTTGCTGGATGATGACATAATGAAAGGGCTTTGGGCAATTCCTATTATAGCTCTACCTGGAGTAGATCTTTGTTACATAAAATAGACTGGCCTAGGCCAGAGTAGTGGCCCATTAGCAAAGATATGTGTGTGTGTGTGTGTGTGTGTGTGTAGGTAAGTTTTTAGGAGAAATATTCTGCCTTTTTAATATTTCCTAGAATATTTCATTTTTCTAGGAGAGGGGTGGGTGCTAACTTCCTACAATAGGAAATACTAACGCTATGATGGTCATTTCAAAAAATCCTTTCTTAGTGATCACCTAGAAGCCAAGAGGAACAGACGTGCCAAGTTTCAAGTTTGTAGGTCTGGAGATTTTGTGATGATGCGTGAGTGGTATTTCGCTTTTATAGAGAGAGAGTGATATAATTAATATATTAATATAGCAGAAAGCAACAAGGGCAGACTTTATCTGGGCAGGGGGCACCTGGCAGCGGGTTCTCTCTCAGGCTTAACATGGCATTTACATTCCTGGCTGGCTGTACCCAGCGTAGGGTTCACACCTTTGGAAGTGCTTGCTCTCACCTCTGCTAGGCAATCCAGTCGACGCTCGCTCTAATGTCTTCAATCTTTCGTTCAGATTTTCGATCCACCGGACGAGTTGGAGAGGAAGATCCACCAGCTGGCTGACTTGATCCAGAATTCTTTCAACGTGGTCTTTCACACCGGGGCGGGTATCAGCACATCTTCAGGGATTCCGGATTTCAGGTGAGGAAATGGACAGCCGAAGGCCAGAGGTCTGCATCAGAAGTCAAGTTTTACCTAACTCGGAATTTTCAGAACCAAGTTTTAGATTCCAGGTATGGGAACAGCAGGCTTTGAATGAGCCGCTTTGGCTGATGAAGCCGTGCGTAGAAATGAAGACATGATTTTGGTTTGGAAGCTGCGCTCAGTGCACGGATGATGAATTATGAAGCCTTGAATGCTCAATCTCATTTGGGGGGAATCCAAGAAAAAGCCTGCAGATTTATAGTTGAACAGTCCATCCAATACAGGTAGTCCTCATTTAGTGACTATTTGAAATAATGAAAGGGAACCTTGTAGGTCATCTAGTCCAACAGACATTTCTCCTGGTTATGTTGATTCTGATGATTAATCCAGGAAGTCGGTCGAATTAAAGGCCAGGTTGAAGGAGTACGGCCTATCCTTGAAATTATTTCCATGACATTTTCACGAACAATAAGGAAATATAATCATTCTCTCTTCGTACAACTAGAGTTTCCCCTCTTTTTTATCTCATCTACATTGGGGAGTTTCATCATCTTTCAGGAACATTCTTCCTGCAGCTGGTTTTACCAGGTTCAAAGCTGGATTTTTTTTTCTTATTTTATTTATTAAATTTATATGTTGCTCATTTCGCTGTGACACTACTCTGGACGGCTTACAACACAATAAAAACAGTATGGTAAAACCGTCACTATAACATTAGAATAATTGTCTCCAATGAAGACACAGATTCAGAATAATAGAGTTGAAAGGGACCTTGTAGGTCATCTAGTCCAACCCCCATCCACCCAAGCAGGAGACCCTACACCATTTCTGACAGTCCAGTCTCTTCTTGAAAGCCTCCAGGGATGAAGCTCCCACAACTTCCAAAGGCAACTCCTGCTCCATGGGTTGATCGTTCTCACTGTCAGAAATTTTCTCCTTATTTCCAGGTTGAATCTCTCCTGGATCAGTTTCCATCCATTGTTCCTTGTCTGGCCTTTAGGTGCTTTAGAAAATAGCTTAACCCCTTCCTCCTCTTTGTGGCAGCCCCTCAAATATTAAAAGATGCTATCCTGTCTCCCCTGGTTCTCACTAGACTAGCCAGGCCCAGTTCCTGCAACCGTTCATCATATGTTTTAGCCTCCAGTCCCCTCATCATCCTAGTTGCTCTTCTCTGCACTTTTTCTAGAGCCTCAACATCTTTTTTTTTTTTTTTTTGAGTGGTGACCAAAACTGGGTGCAGGACTCTCGGTGTGGTCTTACTAAGACTTCATAGAGTGGTATTAGTACCTCCCTTGATCTTGATTGTATCCCTCTGTTAATGCAACTTAGGATTGCATTGGCCTTTTTGGCTGCTGCTGCTGCACACAGCTGGCTCCTATTTAGCTGGTTCTCCACTAACTCTCAAGATCCCCCTCCCAGTTCCTTCTATTGAGCCTGGCTTCACCCAGTCTGTATGTGTACTTTGGGTTTTTCTTGCCTAAGTTTTCTTGCCCAAGATGGAGGAAGGGAGCCTGAAATGGGGTGGGAGGTGGACGGTGGGGCGTCTTCTGTTTAATCCAGTATCCTTCTCCAGAGCCCCAGGCCAACCAGCAGAGCCAGGCTTTCAAGGCCCTTTTGGAAGTTGGGATGAGGCGAAATATCACCTCAAGGGGCACAATGCTGCAGAGGGCAGAAGCTGCACCCCCGCTGTCCGAAATTCCTTAGCCGACGGGACTTTCAGCATGTCCCTTTTGGTGTCATCGGGTCGGTCTGAGGCGAGAGGGTTCCTCAGGTAGCCCTGAGTTATGCCATTGATAGGTATGACCACAATGGAGCTCCAGATTTTCTGCTGCTAAGCAGGACAGCTCTTGAGTGGGGTTTGTCCCATTTTACGACCTTATTTGCCACCGTTGTTAAGTTCTTAAGTTAGTCACGTGCTCGTTAAGCGAATTTTGCCTTCCCCAGTGATTTGACTCCTCAGAACGTCGCAAAAGGGGATCACCTTACCCTGGGGCACTGTCATAAATAGGAGTCAACGGCCAAGCGTCCCGAATCTTGATCATGTGACCGCGATGGTCTCAAAGTGTGGAAAAAGGGACTTTACGTTACTTTTTTTCCTCAGTGCGGTTGCGACTTCAAGCCGTCACTAAATGAACCGTTGTAAGTGGAGGACCCACTGTGCTTCTCTTCCTTGGTGCAGAGGCCCAAATGGGGTGTGGACCATGGAGGAGCGGGGCCTGGTGCCCAAATTTGACACCACCTTTGAGAACGCGAGGCCCTCGAAGACGCACATGGCTCTGTTGGAGCTCCACCGCGTGGGCATCCTGCACTTCCTGGTCAGCCAGAACATCGACGGGCTTCACGTGAGGTCCGGCTTCCCCAGGTAAACGCTCACCTGCTTGAAAAGGGGCGGCTGAAATGGGCAAAACCGACCGTTCTGATTGAAAGAAAAGAACCATAAGCCCTTTTGTGGAAACAGCTTCCAAATTTCGGGCTTGATGTGGAAAAGAAGGAAACTCTTGACTTTGGGTTTGACAGATTAGATCAGAGGCCTCCAAACTTGGCAACTTTTAAGACTTGTGGGCTTCAGCTCCCAGAATTCCTCAGCCGGCTATGCCAATTTGCCAAGTTTGGGGGAGGCCTGGATTAGATGGATAGGTCTGTATAGAAATGGCTTGTTCATATTATTATGGAAAAACCAAAAGCTGTGATTTGATGCTAATGCCCTATTCTACTGCAACAGGGAGAGTCAGAAGTCAGTGCTTCCTTGTCTTTTCTTTCCCCTATCTTTCTTCACTTCCTTTTCCTCTTTCCCCTGCCTCCTCGCTGCTCTTTACTTTTGTATTTTGTATTTTATAATACTTTATAACTTAACTTTTTAAAAATGTTTCTTTTTTTTTTTTAAAGAAAAGTTGCAGGGAACAGTCAGGGAACAATGGCCCTTTTACGGCTTGTGGCAATCAACTCTCAGAAGTCCTGAGCCAGCCATACCCTGCCTAACCCTAACCCTCGTCCTCTCACTTTCCCAAAGTGAAACGTTCGATGTTTTCAGGATTGGGCTCTTGAAAGTTTCGTTTTGGGGAAGCGAGAGAATGGAGAGAAAACTGTTGTTCCCTGCTGCTGGATTTTAGAGATGCATTGGAATTCAAATTTTTCTAGCATGGAAGGAATGAAACTGTGGAGTCCTTGGTGCTCTCTGATGGTTGGCGGTTTTCTCGCAGAGGTTTCATTACCCAAACTAGGGAACATCATCAGTTAAGAAGGGCCTGTGGAGAGGGGGGGGGGAGGAGAAGGAGAAAGGGTTGGAGAAGGAGGAGGAGAAAGAGTGGTGAAGAAGTAGAAGAAGGAAGTATTGGAGGAAGTGAAGGAGAAAGTGTTGGGGAAGGTGGAGAAAGAGAAGGAGAGAGTATCGGAGGAGGAGGAGGAGAAAGTGTTGGAGGAGAAGAAGGGCAGCTCTGGGGTCTTTGGAGACCCCTGTTCTAGCACATCTGATCTTCGCCATCCAGCACCTTTTCTTCATGTCTCCGCTGTAGGGACAAGCTGGCAGAACTGCACGGGAACATGTTCGTAGAGGAATGCATTAAATGTGGCAAGTATGTTCCTTTTATTCCACACACACCCCCTCCCAGCTGCTTTTACGTGCCTGAAAAACAAAGGTGGCTTTTAATCACAGTGATATATATTTTTTTAAACCAGGGACGCTCAGCATTCCTAAAGTGGGACACCACCCTGCAGGATTTCTGCCATGGGGATTAGTGGCCTGGGTTGGCTCTCTCTTAGCAAGGCCTCGTCATCGTCATCTCTTAATGACCCCCATAATCCCTTGCGGGGTGGAGTCTAGGCAACCGAACGGAGCTAGCAGAGTGTCTTACTGGCCGGATGCCCTTCCTGTTGCCAGTGGGGGGTTTTGTTCAGCAGATATAGTCTCGTTGTTTCCAGAGGGAGAAATATCTGCCGCTAGCTAGGATCGAACTCACATCCTCCTGACTGTGACGTGAGAGCTCCACCTCTAGGCCAGCGTACCCCCCTCTCTCTCTTAGCAAGACATCCTCCCCTAATTTTAGTCAAAAGGAGAATCTGGATCTTCCCCACCCCAGTGAAAGTATCTCAGCGGCCTATCAGGAGGTCAGTTCCCCACAAGTCAGGGACTCAGGCCAAGAGACGGTTCTTCCCACCCCTGGAAGCAGAAGATGCTAATTTTAGTTGGGAGCTGTTAATGCGTAGTCCCCTCCCTCGGTCCAAGATGTGGATGGCAGCAATGCTTCCCACTTAGTCTACTAGATAAGGCAGCAAGGCTAGAGACCGGGAGACTGGGAGCTCTAGTCCCGCCTTAGGCCTGAGAGCCAGCTGGGTGATTTTGAGCCAATCACCAGGAGACTGTGAGTTCTAGTCCCACCTTAAGGCATGAGAGCCACTTTCATGGGGGTCTTTGGGCCAATCACCAGGAGACTGGGAGTTCTAGTCCCGCCTTAAGGCATGAGAGCCACTTTCATGGGGGGCTTTGGGCCAATCACCAGGAGACTGGGAGTTCTAGTCCCGCCTTAGGCATGGCATGAAAGCCAGCTGGGTGACTCAGGACCAGTCCCTCTCTCTCGGCCCAACCCACCTCATAGGGTTCTTCTGGGGAAAGTAAGGGGAAGAAGATGTGTTGGATATGTTCGCCCCCCTGAGTTATTTGTAAAAGTCATAAAAGACGGGAAACAAAATAAAGAAATAAATACCAATGAATAAATAAATAAATAAAATTATTTTATTGTTTTTGAAGGCAATACGTGAGGGACACCGTTGTGGGCACCATGGGGCTCAAACCCACCGGCCGGCTCTGCGACGTCTCCAAACGCCGAGGGCTCCGATCCTGCAGGTGCGTGCGCCCCACGGCTGCCTCCCCATGACTCCTTCCCAAAGGATGAGCCCCGTTCACACCCCAGTCACGTCACATAAAGACCATTTCGTTGATGGGCTATGCGGTGTGAATGCAGCCCATTTGATACCTTAATGACAGGTAGCCCTCAGCTTACGACGCTTTGTTT